TCCTCAGCCTGGGCCCTGAGACACCGGGGGCCCCCAACCTCCCCCAGCTCCTCCTGTGAGTCCTGTACCTGCAGCCCAGCTCAGTCCGGCGCTGGGCACGGCGCCCCGGCCGCCTGGCGATGTGAGCCCGTGGGATCCGGGGGCACGGTGAGGCCAGGGACACCGGGGCCAGCCTCTCCATCTGGGCGGCGGGGAGAAGGGCAGGCTCTGCCATGAGCTGGCACCTCACAGCGCACAGGTGAGCCTCTGCGCTGCTGCTGCTGCCACCGCTGCCGCCGCTGCTGTGAGGCTGACTCAGGCTGTGGTGTGAGGTGTGAGCAGGAGGGAGGCTGCTTGCCCAGTTCCCAGACACCCCCTCACCAGGGCAGAAGTCCAACCTCCTCCCAGGCGGGGCTGGCTCAGTCCGGGCCACCTACAGGCATACACACACACACACACACACACACACACACACACACACACCTTAGCCCTGCCCACCTGTCTGCACTATGGTCAAGTGGAAATGGCACCTTTAAAAAACAGCCATGAAATGTCATTTGCAGTGGCATTTTTATTACCCACAGGCCTTCCATTGCAAGGAAAACTGCATTAATAAAAGACCAGACTGCCCGGCCGGCCTGGCTCAGTGGTTGAGTGTTGACCTATGAATCAGGAGGTCACGGTTCCATTCCCAGTCAGGGCACAGGCCCGGGTTGTGAGCTCCGTACCCAGTGTGGGACAGGCAGGAGGCAGCCCGTCAATGATTCTCTCTCATCATCGATGTGTTTTTTTTTCTTCTCTCTCTCTCCCTCCCCACCCTTTTCCCCTCCGAAAGCAATAAAAAATATTTTAAAATAAATAAATAAATAATCTGACTAATGTCAATAGGAAAAGCATCCCTGGCCTGGGGGCCTTCCCCTGAGTGGCCACACCCCCCATGACTGAGCGGTCTCCCACCTTCTCCCAGTGTGGTCTCCTCCTCTGTGAAATGGGGACAGGGACTTTGCCAGGAAACAGAAAAGCAGACAGGCAGAAATGTGTTGGGGGGGTGTTGTGGTGAGAAAGGGCAGGGCTTGGGTGGGGAAGGAAGGATGCTAAGAGAGGAGGAAATGCCAAGTGGCCAGCTGTGGGGGTCAGCAGAGCCTCCTGGGAACTGGCCTCTAGCCCTGAATGTGAGGTAGGGACGAGGAAGGGACATTCCTCCTGGCTTCCCTGGCTTGTGTCCTTCCCCCGAATCTGTTATGGGCCAGGAGCCCCTCCCCTACTCTCTGGCCAGGACAGAATGCCATGATCCACCCCTCCACCCACCGCCCGCCTGCCCGCCCTGCCCTCGGCATAGTTGCCTTTAAGAAGGGCGGCCCAAAGGTGTTCCTTAGGAGGCGCCCCAATCCACAGGTCACTATGGCCTTCTCTGGCCTGGGGGAAGCAAGAAATGGAGCCCAATAACCGGAAATCGCCCCACCGGAGTGATAGTGCCCAGGAATATGCATAGCCTTGGCATCGAAAGATGGGCAGGGGCCCTCAGGAGCCCGAGTCTCAGGCGGCCATCACTGCTCTCAGGTGCAGACTGGGGCTGTCCTTCTCTCACGCCTTTCCTGAGGAGGAGATCCTGAAACCACACCACCAGGAGGCCAAGGGTCTGGGGTCTCATTGGCGCAAAGGTCCTCCCTCCAAATATGTAAGTGGAAGTAACAGCAAAAGTGGGTGAAAAAGTGGCTTGGGGGGCATGAGAAGCTTTGTGTGGAAAACATGGCAGGTGCTTAATAAAGGTTGGAAGGATAGATGGATGGATGATGGCTACATGGGTGATGGATGGATAGATGATAAATAGGTGGAAGAGTGAATGGCTGTGAACAGGAATGTGTGAGCATGAGCACTTGAGTAAATGAATGAATGAATCAGTGAACCATTAGGTGAATGAGTGGATAAGTAAGTGAGTGAATGAATAGATAGAGACTTGAGTAAGTCGATATGTTAGTACCTGGATAAAGGAACTTCTATTATAGTCCAGAATAGAAAACCTAACATCACTCCTTCAGGTGTAGGGAACCCTTGGAGAGAAAGCAAGAGGAAGGGAGAGTAGCCTGCATCTTGACTAAACTGCACTTTCAAGCTTCTTAAAGGAAGCAGCACCTCTTGGCTTCCTGGAGAGCTGTGTGTGCTGAGAGGGAAGTGAAGCGTGTCCATGTTCTGGGCAACATTCCTCAGCCCTGGCGGGCCGGGCCCCAGCCCTGGAGTATCGGCTGGGCCGGTTAGGTTGCAGTGGAGTGACTCAGATATGGCGGCCCTGCACCTGGCCACCTGCCAGCACCTCACCAGGCAGCTGTGATCCAGCCCACCCACTCACCCCTGCCCCTCTCACCTAGAAGGCTCCAGAGGGTCACGTGCTACATGCTCAGGACTCCCTCCCTGCCTGCTTATCCCTCTGAGCAACTCCCACTCCTCACTATACTGCTCTCTTGCCCTGTGTGATGGAGTGGAGTCTCATAGGCCTGGAGTTCGTCCTCAGCTCTGACACTTGGGCTGTGTGACTTCAGGCAGGTGCCTCCTCCTCTCTGAGTCCAGCTTCATCATTTTAATGCTGGCATTGGCCACCAGGGGTCGCTGTTAGGATTCAGAGGGATAACGCATGCCCAATCTGTGTCTGGCACACGATGTGCACCAAGCATTGTATTTCCAGGTTGCTCAGCTTTTTGCTTTTGGCAACAATTCGTGGAGCATTATAAAGCGCCCGCCAAGCACTGTGCTCAGAGCTCTGTGTGTGTTCCCCCAGTTAGTCCTTACAGAGGGTGTTCGGGGTAGAATTGTGTCCTGCCAGGACATCCAAACCCCTGGACCTTAGAATAGGACATTTGGAAATAGGGTCTCAATAGAGGTAATCAAGTCAAAACAGTCCTCAGGGAGGCCCTGACCCAATGACTGGTCCTTATGGGAAGGGGACTTGGATGCGCAGAGGAAGACGTGAACCATGAGGATGGCGCTGCCAGCAGCTGGAGGAGACAAGGAAGGTCCGCCCCTTCCTGGCACGGGGGGGAGCCTGCCCTGCCTGCACCCTGATTCTGGACTTCCAGCTCATCGACCTGGAGAGGCGACATCCCCTCTCTAAGCTGCCCCATTTGTAGTGCTTTTGTGAGTGACGGCCACAGGAAGCAAATGCAGAGGAGACGGGTCCCCTTTTGCTGATGGTGACACAAGGCCTGAAGGGATGGTGGCGGGAGGGGGAGAGGTTCAGGGCTGGGGAATAAGGGCAGGCCCAAGAGATGTGTCCTGACCAGGGCTCCAGAGACGGGGAACGGAGCCCGTGTCTCTGATGACCCCAGCAGCGCCCCACCTCACCCCGGGACTGTCCTCCCAGAGTGCTGAGCTCTTGGGGCCAGGGAGACACGCACACCATTGTTCCGAGTTTCCTAGTATTTTTGCAAACATCAACAGCACATCCGGAAGCGGCACGGTTCCAGTCTGGGAAGAGCCCGGGGTATTGTGTGGGTCCCGGGAAACACGTCTCTGTTAACAGGAAAATAGGCCCCTTCCAGGCTGTACGACTTGGGGCGAGTGACAACCTCCGTGACCCTAAGTGTCCTCATCTGAACGACCCAGCCCCCGAGGCTGCGGTGAGAGCACATAGGAGGCACTCAGTACTGGGCAGGCGCTCAGCGCGGCCGCTCAGTTCGGGCCAATGTCTCTCAGGCAGCCTGTCACTAGGTCACAGGTGTGCTTATCAGACACACACGTCCCTGCCTAACGGGACAAAATGCCAGGAAGCGGCCCAATCCACACCCAGGGTCTCGGCGCCCACTCCAAGCAGGAGGGCATCCCCCACAGCCCTCCCCCCTTACCTGCCAGTGGCCCGCGGAGCGTGGCCCTGCCTGCTGCCGGGCGCTCCAGGGGCAGGACCAGCTCCTCCAGGGAGGCTGGGGGGCCGGGGGTGGGGGTCGGGGGTGGGGGATGGAAGTGGGGGATGAGTCAACTGGATTTTTGGGTCAGCACGGAGGCTGAACAATGGCCAACAGCCTGGACAGCGGGGGCAGGGGAGGCAGTGGCCGACAGGGAGCAGGGTGGTTGGAGAAAATGCCAGACAAGCCAGGGGGAAGCTGCAGCCACAGGGGAGGTTTGTTATCGAAAGTGTTTATTCAACACCAGGAAAGCTCCTGGCAAAGTACAGCATGGACACAGCTCATCAGCCAGAACAAAGTGTGTGTAGATAGAGGGCTGTGTATGAGTGTGACTGTGTGTGTGTTTGTGAGAGAGAGTGTGTGTGTGTGTGTGTGTCTGTGTGTGAGTGTGTGTGTGACTGTGTGTGTGTGAGTGTGTGTGTGTGACTGTGTGTGTGACTGTGTGTGTGTGTGTTTGTGTGAGAGAGTGTGTGTGTGTGTGTGACTGTGAGTGTGTGTGTGTGACTATGTGTGAGTGTGTGTGTTTGTGTGAGAGAGTGTGTGTGTGTGTGTGTGTCTGTGTGTGAGTGTGTGTGTGACTGTGTGTGTGTGTGAGTGTGTGTGTGTGACTATGTGTGAGTGTGTGTGTGTGTGACTGTGTGTGAGTGTGTGTGTGACTGTGTGTGAGTGTGTGTGTGTGTGACTGTGTGTGAGTGTGTGTGTGACTGTGTGTGAGTGTGTGTGTGTGTGACTGTGTAGTGTGTGTTTGTGTGAGAGAGTGTGTGTGTGTGACTGTGTGTGAGTGTGTGTGTGACTGTGTGTGTGTGACTGTGTGAGTGTGTGTGTGTGTGTGTGTGTGACTGTGTGTGAGTGTGTGTGTGTGTGTGACTATGTGTGAGTGTGTGTGTTTGTGTGAGAGAGAGTGTGTGTGTGTGTGTCTGTGTGTGAGTGTGTGTGACTGTGTGTGAGTGTGTGTGTGTGTATGTGTGACTGTGTGAGTGTGTGTTTGTGTGAGAGAGTGTGTGTGTGACTGTGTGTGAGTGTGTGTGTGTGTGACTGTGTGTGTGACTGTGTGAGTGTGTGTGTGTGTGTGTGTGTGAGTGTGTGTGTGTGTGTGTGAGTGTGTGTGTGTGTGTGTGACTATGTGTGAGTGTGTGTGTTTGTGTGAGAGAGTGTGTGTGTGTGTATGTGTGTGTGTGAGAGTGTATGCAAGTGTGTGTAGGGGTGAGTGTGCGGAGGTGTGGGGGGGTGGGAGGGTGTTATTTAGGGCAGCGGTCACCAACTTTCCGACCTCACAGGCCACCAGTGGTCTGTGGGCCACGGGTTGGCGACTGCTGACCTGGGAGGTGTACAGTGGGCCAGAGGCCAGGAGAAACAGGCACTTTTGTACGCACTTTCGGTGCCACCTTTTGTAAGACAATTTCACAATATCCGCAAACTGTGAAGGCACAGACATATTCAACAAGCCCACGTTTCAGGATTTACCCCACAGACAGCAGCACACTCGTGTGCAGAGGGAAGTCCAAGGGCGTTCACAGCAGCCTGTTGGGGAGCACACACCTCACCAGCACACGCGCTGGGCTCGGGTCCGAGGGCAGCTCCCACCACACGAGGAGCCGGGCTGTAGCCAGAGCCGTAGGGAGCTACAGAGGGCCCTACGCAGGGGGACGGCGTGTCTGCATCTGTGCTTTGGATGGATCGTTCAGACTAATGGGCAGCAAGGGCAGAGCAGGGAGACCCAACTCTGGGAGCCCAGCCAATAATCCAGGCTCATTCTCTGCCTGCGGGGGTGATGGAATGCGTGACGAGAGGGAAAGAGGGGACAAAGGTGACACCTGCTGAGACTCGGGAGGGCCTGTCCCTTCTACAACCCTGCTGCCTCTGGGGGGCCGGTGTGGGTACAAGGACAGATTGGGGTTTCTCCCAGGTGCCTCCCCATGACTGCCCCCAACACTCCAACCTGGCAAACCATCGGCCCAGTGGGCCAGGGCCGGCTCTGGAGCCACAGGGCTTAGGTTCACACCCCAACTCCACCATTGCCATTCAACAAGTTACTTGACTGCTCCGTGCCTCAGTTTCCCCATCTGTGAAACAGAGATAATCAAAGACCCCGCCTGATAGAGTCCTCGTCAGGGTTAAAAATGGCAGTGTGTGGGAAGTACACAGAAGAGTGCCTGGGACGCAGTAAGCCCTCATTAAATGTGAGCTCTTCTTAAAGGAGCCAGGTGCAGGTATTTATAAAGTCCACGTGGTTAAAATCAGCTGGAAGACTAAGGCTAATTGAGGACTGAGTCTGAAATGAGACAGTGGAGGCTCAGAGCAAGACCCCTCAGCCCTTTGAACAGACGGGAAGCAGGGTCTGGGTTCCCAAACGGAGTCAGAAGGCCCAGGTGAGGGCCAGGGCTGGCCCAGGCCCCACAGCTCATGAATGAATGGACATGGACTTGGTCAGGCCCAGGACGCGCCAGGGTCTCCTGAGCTCAGGCAGCCCCTGTTGCCTTTAATATGGACCCACACGCTCAGGCCCAGCCCTGCCCGGCGACCTCTTCTCAATTCATGTGGCCAACTTCTCCCCATGTGACTGCTTATACCGTCTTCACAGCTTGGGGGGGCCTCCGGAGATGCTGGAGGGACCGAGGCGGGCACCCCAGAAAAACACCTCAGCCGCTGAAGTCCTCTCCCTTCCCTGGCGAGTCTCTCCCGTCCACTCCGGCCGTTGCCACTGCCCAGCGGATTCCAGGAAAACCGAGCTGGGAGCAACTGGCAGGTTGGGTCTAGGGATGACAATGGAATGAGAGTGAGAGAGGGACAGGCGTTGGGGGGTGGGAGGTGCTCTGTATAAATGGGACAGGCTCCCCGAGCAGAGTTTGAATATCTCCTTTTATTACCCCCCGACTGTATGCAAACAAGACAGGCTACACAATTTGTGGGGCCCATTAATAATGAGCATGTGGGCTCCTTGTTACTAATTATTAAAAATTTCAAGACAGCCACAGCTGAGCACTATACCAAGATGGGCTCTGCTGAACGTGGGACCTCATGTGCCCACACAAGTCACTCCCCGTAAAGCTGGCCCCATACGCAGGACTGTGGGGAAAGGGGCTCAACTATCAAGGCCGTGACCCAGGAAGGCTAAGAATCCCTGTAACTAAGGGCACATGAGGGTCCCTGCTTCTCAGCCCCACTTCCTTCCCCACTCGGCCTGGCAGGGGCTCCCAGTTTTGACCCACGGGGCAGAGCAGGGGGTGGTGACAGGTTGCAGGGGCAGACTTCGGAGGAGGGCAGGCCCTGGCAGCCAGGGGAAGAGAGAGACGATGCAAGAGATGGAGGATGGGGCGGGACTGCGTGTGGGGTGGGAGGCAGAGAGAGCATGAGGCTGATCCCCCAGCGTGGGGCTTTCAGCCAGGCCAGCAATGGGAGTGCTGTTCAGGGAGACGGAGAGAGGTTAGCAGGTCCCATGCCCAGTTTTGCTTTGCTGGATTTACCAAAGGGAATAAACCATCCCATTCTAGCCATGAAGAGGTGTCCAACTCAGAAGGAAGATTAGGCGACATACAAGGGGTCCCTGGTGTGGAGATGGCATTTAGCCGCATTGGGCTGGAGGAGGCCGCCTGAGGGTGCGCAGCTGCAGGTTCCATCACTCTGGGCACGTCACTGCGGCCCTGCCGCTCTGCACCCTCGTTTGTAACATGGAGACCAGGAGGACATCCTCCTCGCAGGCTTTCCTAAGTGCGCTTGTGAGAGGGAAATGCTGAGCACAGCCTGGCACCCAGAGTATCAGCTGGTGTTATTACTTATCATTATGGTTCTATCCCTTCTACAAACATCTATTGAGCCCCCACCATGGCTAAAGATAGAGGAAAGCAGAGAGGGGGTCTGTGGAGCAGGGAGAGATGTCTGTAAGAAGGAGGGCAGTCGGGGACCCTGCTGAGAGAGTGAATTTGAGCAAAACCTCTTCACTCTCTGAGGGAGTGAGTGCACCACGTGGATGTCTAGGGAAGAAGGGTTCCAGGCAGAGGCAGCAGCTGGGGCCAAGTCCCCAGGGAGAGATGCAGGAGGTGAGGCCAAGAAGCAAAGGGTGGGGGAGCTCTGTAAGGGGGCTCCCACGTGGCAAGAACAGGCCTCCCACACAATGAGGCAGGAGGTTCTCCGACGCAGCAGAGATGGCAAGCTCTGCAATGGTGGAGGGCGTCAGCGGTCCACCTGGCAGTGCCCAAGGCTGCGGACAGTCTCTGAGGCCGCCCTTCCCCCCACCCATCTTCCTAGAAAGGCCTCACCTGGCAGAACAGGCTCACTGGCTGGGGCTCTCCTCCTCTTGGCTCTGGAATGTACTGTCCCACTCGGCTGGGTCTTTGCTCCATGGCTCCCAATCAAAGCACAAATCTGACTCATTTTCCTCTGACTCTGTGGAGGAGTAAGTAAGACAAGGCTTTTTGAATGATCACATTCTGTTTCCTCTCCCTGATCCACAAGGAGCCCCCTGCCAGGCCTGGGCATCCCTGCAGCCTTGTCTGAGGCCAGGGGGCCGGCCCTGAGACCTCGGGGAGACTTCGGGGCCTGGAATGGTGACCAGGGATCAGAAAGGTTGCTCTGTAACTCACAAAGGGGCCATGTCCACCTACTAAACAGGAAAGGACCCTGAGATGAGCTAATGGCCTACCTGCATCGGGCATAGTCCAGGAGCAGGCACGGAGGAGACACAAACCCAACCATCCATTTGTCCACCAGCCCATTCAGTCACAAACATCTGTATATACCAGTAGGCACAACGATTTCCATTGCAGCCTTGTTTTGTGGTAAAATACACACACACACACACACACACACACACACACACACATACACACACAACAAAACACCCTAAAAACCATGTGCGTGCACGTCCATCATGAGAGTCCTGGTTGGCAGAAGTGTGGCACAGTCACACCTAACGGAGGCCCGCCCGTCCATCCGGTGGCCGGTCACGAAGCTGTTACAACCGCATTGGGTCTGCACCTTTCTACCTGCAGGATGTGTTTCAAGCAAGCTTCAGAGGAATCTGTGTGTAGAATCCCCTCCCCCGCTTTTTCTTTAAACCTGCAGGTGTCATGGAATAGGTACATGAGCTTGCTCACATGGCTTACCTCGGGAGGCCAGGAGAGAAAGGCAAGAAGGCACAGGAGGTTGTTATTTTTCTAACTACATCTACTCTTATTTCACCAGCTGCAAAGAAGTAAAGGAGGCTGAAAAAGGCCGGTGTCAGAAAAGACTGAGCCTCATTGTCCTCATCTGTAAAATGGGCACAACAATAGCCTCTTCTATAATGAGGGTTGACTGAAGTGAGATTTGGAAAATGGGCATTCAACAGTGCTGGCAGTTGGCAGTTAAAAATCAGCGCCATGGCTTGAAGTGGCTGATCTTCACTAGATATGGCGATTGTTTTCTGAACGCGCACTATGCGCTGTGTGTTTTACATGCCTTTTCTCACTTCCTGAGGCAATAACCGATGGTCTTCATGTTTTACAAGGGGAAGGCTCAGGAAGGAGGTGTCTGGCTCCCAGCCAGGAAGTGGTCCTCTCCTGTACTAGGTGCCACGTGTTCCGTTGGGTGCACCGTTTGAGGTCCGGGATTTCAAAGGCAGCAGCTCACTCCAAGGACCAGCTGAGGAGCAGTCAGGACCCTCCACAGGCATAGCCTATGGTGCCCATTCCTGTTTTAGCTATAAGTCCCGTTATTTGGAGGTCTCCCCTCTTCTTTCTGCAAATGTCAGGGTCTTCCCCGTGAAGGGCACATCTGGCGTGGTCCTCTCTCCCTATGTAATGGCAAGGGGCCAGGGCCAGCTTCCCGGGGATCAGCAGAAAGCTTCCTTCTCTCCGCCCTCTGCTTCCCCCTCTCCTGGGAAAACTGTGTACTCCTTGGCCACATTGGCCATGAGGCATGTTGCTCAACCCTCTGCCGCCTGGGCCCTGAAACTACCCCGTGGAGCCTGGCCAGGCGGGGGAGGGAGAGGGCATCAGAGCTACTCTTGTCTGCTTTCCACTGGATTCCAGGCCAGCCTGACTCCCATAAAGAGATCCACACCAGACAGAAAACTACAGACGAGGATATCGCAAGCCCCAGCCCCCGCCAAACCCTAGCTGGCCCAGACCCCGGATTTGGACCAGTTCCCAGCACAAGGACAGAACAGAAGCTGTAATACTGAGTTCCAGGAAAACAGAGACCATGAAGAAGAGCTGCTCGCTCATTTTGGGGGCAGTTTCTGTTCATTGCAAAATTAACAAACGAACCCTGGCCTCTAAGGAGAAAGGTGAGAGGGGTGGGCCAGGGCAGGTTGCGGGTAGCTTCCAAGCAGGGCCTCCAAGGAGAATGAATTGTTGCAGGAAATCAATGCCTTAGACCTCAGGGAAGGTTTCCCTTCTCCTTCCAGAAATGCCACCCAAAGCCACTGCTATTCTTCCTCCTACCTTGACAAAACCAGTATGGACTAAATTATTTCTCAGCCTGCAAGCACCTACTATGTGAACCTGTGCTGTGTGCCCCGCCCTTGCTGTGCATCTCTGCAAAAGGGCATGACCATTGTTATCTCCGTTTTGTAGGTGAGAAAACCCAGGCTTGGGAAGGGCTTGTCCAGAGCCACACAGCTGGTAGCTGCCAGAGCCGGGATAGGCAGTCTTAAATAGACTCGGCAGTCCTAAATACTCCCTTGGTGTGTGACCGTGGGCAGGTGGCTCTTCTCTCAAGCTTCAGTTTCCTCAGTTGTACAGTAAGGACTACTTTACAGGGCGATTCTGAGGGCTAAATGAAACAATACGCATCAAGTATTGAGCACAAGTCCTAGTGCACAGTGTTCAGAAAAGCCTAGCTATCATCAAGAACTGTTGAGGGGCAAAGCTGGAATCTGGGCTCCTATCCCCTAGACTCCAGACCGACGGCTGTATAGCCACTGCACAGACACGTGTGCTGACTCCACCAGCCACCGCCTGATGCCCAAGGGCCGACATGCACCCTGGGAATGAGGAAAGCATACTTTAAATCAGGGGTGTCGAACTCAATCAGAGAAGGGGCCAAAATCTAAAATCCAGCCTAAATCGCGGGCCGAATGGTTTACTGAACGTCATAAACTGTCATTGTGATGGAAACGCAGCGGAGTGCAGTGATGACAGCACGGTGCGGGCCACATTGCAAGGCCTGGCGGGACGGATTTGGCCCGCGGGCCTTGTGTTTGACACATGTGCTTTAAATAAACGCTTTCTAAAAGCTCTTACCAGGAACTCCCGATATTTGCACCACGACCCCCACATTTGAAATTCTGGGGTACAAAGGGGGTGAACTGCTCACCCTGTCTCAATGCCATCTGACCAGAGGTGGCAGAACACTCAGTGCCCTCCCTGCTTGCCCAGTTGGCTAAAGTTCATGGGGCTGAGGAGTAGGAGGTGGAAGGTGAAGCTGTCGCGAGGAAGAGGCCCAGGGAGACAGCACAGGCAGGGAGTCATTCCCGCCACGTGGCCAAGCTGCGCGCCTGCCCACCCCCAGCTCCCAGTGGCCAGCTCCACCCAGCATGCTGAGCTCAGGACCCCGTGTCCCCGAGAAACCAGGGATGTATTACCCTCCAGGGAAAAAGGGTGAGTGGTCACTGGCCCCTGATAAATGCCTAAGGCTGCCACCTCCCACAGTGCAGTGTTTGTTGCATGAGAGCACCGAGCTGAAGGGTGAGAGGGACTGAGAGCAGCCTACGCTCTGCTCTCAGAGCCTGTGCCCTGGCTGCATTCACAGGAAGGGCATCTTCTACTAATTCACCTGCCCAGAGGGGCCACCGCTAGCACCAAAGACCTTCCATGCCAGCCATGGCCCTCAGGGGACACACACCCGTGCACATACTGCTTCCCAGGCGAACTCGGGGATTCACCTGGGCTCTAAGAAACTAAACTACCAAATTAGTCCTTTTTTCTCTCAGGTGACCAGTTGTCGGCTCGGAGCCAACAGGGAAAATGCCCCCAAAGCAGCTCCTTTCTCCGCAGTGGTTTCTACCAGACCCCTGCCCAGCTCCAGGATTAGGGCCCAGCCTGGGAGGCTCACCTTGGCTAAGTAAGAAGCGAAACCAGACGATCAACAAGAACAACAGCAAGGCCACGGGCAGGCCGAGCCAGAAGACCAGGAAAGAGAACGTGAGGTCGTTCACCAGCGGCACCAGAGGGTACTTCATGGTGCGTGTGAGGCCACGCCGGGCCAGCCTGAGCTGGGCTGGCAGGGCTGCCCTGGGGAGCTGGTGGGCTGGGCCATGCTCTGCTCTCAAACCAATTGTGACTGAGCCGGTGACGTAACAAGGAAGTCACACTGTCCTTCAGGGAAGGGAGAGCTATTTGGATGAATGGTCAGGAGCCTTGGCAGTGAGAGTAAGCCCGGGCAGGCCTGCATTTGAATCCCTGCTGAGTTGCTGTTGGGTTCATGCACCACCTCTGGGATCCTCTCATAGGATGAGGAATAATTCTTTCCTCACCAAGCTGCTAAAAGTGGGAAAAGCAAGTGCTGGGATAAGCATTGCCCACAGGTGGGTGTTCATATATTTGAGGTCACAAAATCCTCTAGAGGCTGGCCAGGTCCCTGATCCAAAATTCAGGCTCCATGTGCCCACACTTATGCTTGGTGAGCGGTGGGGACTGTGCAAACTGGGTGGATCGTAGAGCCTCCAGAGCAGACAGCTGTCCCCGGCACTGGTGTGTGGGGAAGGCGGGTCCAGTACAGCCAGCTCTCCTGACTTCTAAGAGAGCCAAAACATCAGTTTTTATGTGAAATCTGCCAACTTAAAAATACCGAATCGAACATTAAAATACTATTGGCTACACAAAACAAGTCTGGTGGGCCAGACTGGGTCCCTGGGCTGACATTTAAACACTCTCTAACACACAGTAGGCCCTCCGTACATGGTTCTTACTTAATGAGGAAGCTCTGGCACCTCTCCTTATTAGGGAGTCCAGTGAGGAGCTTCTAAGGCTTTAACTGTGTTCCCTTATCTCCCAAGTGGGCAGAATACTCCCAAATGCCATTCTTACCTCCTCCCACCCCACCTCTCCTTCACTCATTCATTCATGATGTGAACCTCCACGTACGTGCCAGGCCCTGAGGGAGGCGGCTCCGGAACTCGCAGGGCCCCATAGTCCCTGAGCTGGAGCCTGGTGGGTGGGGGAGGTCCACACCAGTGGCTGCTGTGTGGGAGGGAGGCAGCAGCACGGTATTCTTTAGGAGGGTCCTTGGACCACCTGCCTGTCACTGCCAGCAGGTGGGTGGGGGCGCAGGGTACTTGGGAAACACACCGACTTCCTTGCTCACCTTGTTCTACTAAGTCAGAACCTCCAGGGACTGAGGCCTGGGACTCAACACATTCATGGACAACCATTCTGCTGCAGACTTGATTTCGAGACCACAGCATTTCAGGCTGGAAAGCCGAGCAGACCAAGCTCCAGGCTGGCGGAGCAGATGCACAAAGTGGGTGGTGGACCTAGAAGGAGACATGGGCTGAAAGGACCCCCTCCTAGGAAGCCTGGGGAGAAAAGCAAGTGGGCCAGCCACAAAAAAAAAAAAAAAAAAAAAAAAAAAAAAAAAAGGGAGGGGAGACCGGCCGGAGTGGCTTGATTGGTTGAGCATTGTCCTGTGCACCAAAAGGTTGCTAGTTCAATTCCCCGTCAGGGCACATACCTGGGCTGTCAGTTCCATCCTTCGTTAGGGAACATAGAACTGATCGACACCTCTCTCACATCGATGTTTCTCTCTCTCTCTCCTTCCTCTAAATATGTCCTCAGGTGAGGATTAATTAAACAGATAGCTAGAGAGGAGGCAAGAGAGGGGAGAGCTGGGGCTTGGAGGGCCAGTGTGCTTAAAGGAAGTTTTAGCCCAGATGTGGGATGACCAGAGTCCTCAGAGGAAGTCTGGGCAGATGGTATTAGAATATGTGTCCAAGAAGCAGTGCCCTGATGGGCTGTGCCACTCAAGACCCAGAGTTCAAGTCCAGAAACAGGTGGGCTGGGTTGGGGTGATTTCTTGGCACTGGGTCCGGAAGGGCCTGGGGTCAGAGAGAGCAGGACAGCACAGGTGGGAAAGGCTCAAACACATTTTCTTGTCAGATCCTGAAACGGCCACTGTGCAGCCAGCCCAGAGAGAAGCCTCCCGCCCCCCAGAGCTAACTGGAGGTGCTGGGGTGGGCAGGTGTGGACACAACTGCAGGGAGATAGCTCCTTGGTGCAGTCCAGGGGCCACACCCTAACTTCACATGGAACCAGAGCCAGGCTGGAGGGAGCGGCTCTAGGCAAAGGCACCCATCCCTATCCCGAGTGGCCCGACCACCCACCATGTGTCACCTAGGCATTAAGATGCTAACCTGGCCCGTGGAATCCTCTGCAGCCAAACCTCTCCCCTTTCCTGACTGGCCAGCCTGGCAGAGCTCGGTCCTCTGTGGGCACACAGCACAGTGTGTTCCGTGTCTCGGGACTGCTGCCCCTGGGATGTGGCCTCTGCTGGCAGGGCCTTCATTACACAAGCTCCTTCTAGTGCAGAAGCCAAATACTTTGACCAAGTCTGAGTACTTGATGAGACTCCCCCAAACCAGGGGGAAACATTGGAAAGAGTAAGATAGAACACCCACACAGGAGTCAAACCCCGGCCTAGGACCAAAAGCACTCACAACATTAGTAGATAAGAATCTCCTTAAAATTTAATTGACTAAATGTATTACATTCAATATTCCATGGGTTTCTTCTGGACAAAGGATCGGCATAAATACAAACAAGCCTCTGGGCCTTCTTCCCTAACCAACGAAGAGAAAACACAGGAGGCAAGGGACACGGCGCCTTCATATGTACATTTCGCCTTTACTTTACAGTTCAGGGCCAGAAATATTTACAGAAAATACAATAAGAAAAAGGTCATGTCTTGGCAACATATTGAAATTCATACAAACTGTATATATGGTTTCAAGCAAATAATGATACTGCTTAACTTTTAGCCACAACTGCCAAGCCCTTCGGAGGAGAAAGATGTTCTTGGTCACTGCAGGAGACAAGGACTTGGGAAACTTGGTTTGCTTCAACAAATATTTATTGGGCGCCTACTATATGCAAGGCACTGTGGAATCCCAAATTATACCTCTTCCCTCACCATTATAAAAAAAGAAACGCATCTGAAGAACATGAGTTGATACTCTTGAGAAAAACACTATACAGTAAGTACATGGCTTCTTTAGCTACCGAGAAAAGAACCCCGTTTGCTTCCACATTCAGTGGGTGGACTATCTCCAATCTTTCCATCTCAGGAAAAGAGGCTGTCATGGAAATTCTTAAAACAGACCCTCTAATGCAACTTATCAATTCATGTAAACATATAAATCATTTTTTTTAGGAAGATATAACCTGAATGGGTTTTTAAGTGCTGAATGGAGAACTACTGCCAGCAGGAGTGTCAAATTATCTCTATTATACCTTTTACCAGCTACTTTTTACAAACCAAGCCTTTGAGCAATGCCAACTCCCACTTTGGGTAAAGTTCACCTGCCAGCAGAAATAAATATTCTTGAAGACTCTGCCTCTTTAAATAGCAGTCTGCAGAACACGACAGAGTTCCTCGGTGCACGTAGAAGTAACCGTTTGTGAAGACCTCGCGATATTACTGGCCAAAGCTGTAGGCTTTTGTATTTATGAGGCCAAAGGAGAATGGGTTGCCCTGAAGTAGAGGACCTGGAAATGGCGAGCAACGTGGATGCGTGTGTATGTCTGTGTGTGTGGCGTGTCAACCCACAATGTAACTATTCCTGTCAAACAGCCAATGGGCAGGAGTAGGGGGTACTTAGGGGAAAGCACTGAACAAAAGGGCAAGTTGGCTGAACAAGGAAAGAGTTAAAAAGGCAAAAGCCCTGTCACTGCTCTTAGTGCTTCCAGAGAGAGGAAGAGAAAGCCTCCATCACCAAGCGCAAGCTAGAAGGATGGGGGACTGCCTGCCTCTATGCCTTGGGTAATGCTTTTTTTGTCACGAATGCCATGCTCATCCACCTCCCGGTGCACCTGTCACATGCAGCAACTAAACTGTCTAAGCCACAGGCCCAAGCGGACCTGGCTTCCCCCCAAAGGTTACGAACGCACGCTAGCAAGCTTAAAGAGTGGACTTCTAAAAACTGGTACCAGGGACTAACTATGCTCCTCTGCCATTGTTCTACTCAAAGTGACTTTAACAAAGGCAGGTGGGTGACCTTAGTGACTGTGAACTCAAACCCGTAATTCTAGTTAAAGGTGCAAGGGCTCTTACCACGCCTCCTTTTAAAAGTAGATGTTATTTTGAACAGAAGGAACCAGCATCTGACGAGGTCTGCATACGTCGTCCTGTTTGCGCCTTATATACTGGATTTTGTAGTCCTGAATCCCTCCCTCCTTCCCTGGGAGACCACTAGATCTTTCAGGCCACAAATTCCATTCAACACAGATGTTCACTTATCAAAGCCATTCGAATTACAAGGAGTTGCTAGAAATTAGAGCAAACTACAGGATCAGGAAGCCTACCCCCAACATGCACACCACAGTATCTTTTGCTGACTTAGTAGTAAAAATAAGCCAAAGGTAAAAGACCTGAAAAACCTCACTGAGGAAGTACACCTACATCAGCTATTTTTAGCCTCTGGAATGTTGTAAGCTGCACATCAACTTATAGCCCCCTTTGTTCACAACCGCTAGAACAAGGGCCCCTTTTCCCTTTGAATGGTCAATCTGGAACTTCCATAGAACTGTTAAACCTCGCCTTATATCTGCTGAGCTACTGAAACATTTTTAGAGTAGAACTTCCTAAACTTTATCATACATACCCCTCCTCCATGCTACCATCTGGAAACAATTTATTGCCCAGATTACAATTACTGAATACATTATACCCTGAATGGGAAATGGAGTCATAGAAGGTTTTACCTGAGCTTAAAACAAACATGAAGAAAAAGTATAGCAAACTTAAAACCAGGAGCCACTATGCCCACATTTCTTGCTCATACATGACAAAATATGTACCTTCTGAAACAGAAATATCTACACAGGGAATTAGGCCCTACATACTATCCTCTGCCCCCTAATTACCAAAACATCAAACCAAACAGAAAGTTACATCCCTAACCTACAGAATCTATTGACATCAGACGTCGGGTGAGAAATCACCCTTTATACAACTGTGACCACTCCTTTTTTGGACTTTAAATGTCACTTACTTTTCTTAACATAAAATGATCTTAATAAAGAGGAAAGCGCATAAGAATAGGAGAAACAAGCAGTGCCTACTCTAGTGCTTTAGCAGGAATCCTTGTAACGATGTTCTGGGTCTGGCCACCTCAAAACATTTATCCCTGGCAGAAAAGTAGCAGCGAGGTAACATGTATTTCCAAAACCCGGGCTGGGATTTGTTGTGCCTTCAGCTGGCAAAGTCCAGAAAATAAGACAACAATAGCCATTTTTAACAGCAACCACCCAAGCAGGTGGCCACTAATGCTTGTCAACAGTCTGATGAAATCCAGTGGCTCTCCAGGAGAGATCTGAATTAGT